AAGCAATTCGACCAATTGAAGAGAATCTCAATTTTGGAAGCAAATCCTTCAACGACTTTTAGAAGCTGCCTTCATGTGATATGTGATGGCCCATTAATACCCCCCCCCCCCCCCCCCCCCCCCCCCCCCCCCCCACACACACACACACACACAGCACACACACGGAGGCTTCAATTCTCCTTTTAGCATCAGTCTTTCCTTTTTTTTATCTCTCTCTTCTATTCAGGTTATATTTCCCCATTTGTCCCGTTTCCCCCCTCGTCGCATCGCATAGCGGCATCCATGCGAGGCATGCAAGGGAAGCGTGCCAAAATCCCTGCCAGATACGACAGAAACGACAGTTTTAAACCGGCTCTTGATTTCGCATGGGGAACGACAAATCATCTCCAGATGAGTCTGAATTCTTCAAAAACATACCAACCTCATATTTTCACGCAATTACTTGAGAATGCGATTGTAATCCTCGCGACGAAGGGGGAGGGGAGTTCGCGAAATCAAGATCTTTTTCTAAACCTAGGAGACTCCCATAGAAAATGTACACACAACAGAATCGTCTCCATAGAAACGTCACGGAGAAGGAACCGAAACCTGCGGACTACGCAGGCAGCCATTATGATCACGTTATTCCCCCTCGTTTTTCTTTTCCTTCTCATTCTCTTTTAGGGATTTTTAAAAGGGGGATTATCATGGGGACAACATGAGTGTCGTCATTCAGTTGATCGGGGCATTTACCGGCAAAGTATGCCCCGAGGGGATTCACGCGCCGAGACCAAAAAGTTCAATGACTCGCCCATGCAGGAAATCCTCGGCTTCCCTCCCGTCCCTCTTCCATTACAACATGCTTCTTTTCCTCTTTTTTTTTCATCCGTGGATCACCCTATGAAGCAGTGAAAGAAGCTGGACTTTCCCTTATCCTATCTTATCTACGAGATAGTACTTGAAACTTAATCAGAAGCACCAGGTCCAAGGATTCCCTCAAGGACGTCAGACTGACTCCTTTTTAAACAACCAAATTGTATTTTTGTTTCAGTGTTTTTTTCTTCTTCTTATTTGATAAATAGGCTTGAGAAAGGGGCGGTATAGGAAAGGAGAGAAGATAAATTTGAGGACCATTTATTTCCACGGTCCTCTGGATCCCCTGCTATCTCTCTCCCATCTCCCCCCATACATATATACATACGTACGTGCATACATCAAACATATACATGCGGGATGGAGACTGATGAATATTCTCTCGTTCCCTCGTTTTTTTTTCCGCCACGCCCCCCCGTTCCCTGAAAACATGTTTTCCCAGACCAAGGAGTAAACCCACTTTCCCCAACGATATACCCTAATGCACCTCAATGCGATTCCAACCATGCGATACTTTCTTTTCAATCTCCCATTTCTCGGAAATGGCTTTTCCCGTCTCTTTTATAATTTCTGGATGGAATATTTTTCAGTATTTTTTTTTTCCCTTCTGCTTCTTTCGCAGAAGAAATCGGAACGAGGCTCCCAGGCCTAGCTGGAGACCGCGACTTCACTACGTTTCGGGCGGATACTCTTTTAAAATGCGGGACTTTCATCATGGAGACACCCTATGAAGAGTTCTCAGTGAGGCATATCGACTTCTGCCCCGTCATTCCGAGAAGAAAGGCCTTCTTTTATTGCAGACTTCTTGGTCTCCCTCTCTTCGAGTCGACTAAGAGTCCTTTTTGCTTTCTTTCAAAATACTCCCGCTCCCACGGAGCGTATTTCCTCCATATTAAGAAGAGGACACATTTGAATACCTATTTATAATCTAAAAAAAATACATATAGCCTGCTTTGTTTCCTGAGAGAATGCCACGTTTCGAAGGTACTATGAGATCTGATGAGGTCCAACGCCCTAACCTCAATGAGTACTGGATGGGAAGAAAAAACCGCTTCACGGGATTCAAAGGCATGACATGACGGGGGGGTGCGGTTAACCGAGAGGGGATTCCAGAGGTTAAGAGGAAAGAAGGGCTGCGAACAAATGACAGACAAGGAGAAGAATGAGAAGACGCAGAGTGAGAGAGATTCATGAGAAACGTATGCCAGATGGGTCGGGAGCGGGGTTTCCATTTCAAGGGCGCACGTGCCGCCCATGTGCCCCCCTACACCCCCTCTCAGGGTATTTTAGAGCCCCCCTTTTCTCTTGTATCAACAATGGGCTGAAAAATAAGGGGGAGGGTCACATTTCTCTGCCTCCAGGAATTTTTACGCATTCCGATCAGTTTGAACGAGTGAAAAGTTGTCACCTTTTCGAGGACCTACATTAATTTCCAGCAATGCCCCCCCCCCTCCTCCCCAGAAAAAAAAAAAAGAATTAAAAAAAAACTACGCTGGGTAGGGGCATATACAGGATTATGAACTGGGGAATGACGGGAAAACCGATTCGAAGGGAGGAAAAACTGCTAACAAAGAATCTATCTGTATAGATTCAATAGAATTAACAAGATGATTAGCAGGTACAATTTGCAAAGCGTACGTGACTTATGAGCACGGCTCACGCCACGAATTCCCTTCTAAGATCATGTCTATCAGGAATTTCACAAGCAATGGAATACGGTACATCGAACCCATGCAAAGTTCAGTGAACCCCTAAAAAGTGGCGCTGAAATGAAAATAAGAATTGCCGTCACTCGGCCGAAAAGTTCTTAAAGTTCAATAGACCGTATTGCTTTCCGCGCATAGTGTTCGTGCTACGTCACTCCTACGAAGGCTACCAACATGGGTTTCTTCGATTCCTCGATAATAAAAAAATTCTCCTCGTGTGTCAGAAACATTACGTCGAAAAGTGTCAAGAGAAATTCCGTGGAGACACGTTGACACATCAACTATACCAGGAGCTGGTAGGTGGATAACTATCCCCTAAGAAATCTACGGCAGGATGATGAGAGGATTGGAATGAACGTGACCCGAACAAACGATGGCTCAAGGCATCACGGTCACTCAATCCTAACGAAAGGAAGGCCTTAGCTGGATTGGGTTTGTTCCGTTCATGCAAGGATGAAAATTAATTTTTTGTCGCTTCGTTTGTTTGCATCCTTGTTTTAGGTGTGGGAGCACGTCTTCACCCATCTCTCTCCCCCAAATACATATGCCTTTGATGGCTTTGACCAATGCAGACATTTCTTGAACCTTGTTCAGAAAATTCCCAGGGTTATAATTTTTTACCATTCAGATTGATGGCGTAAAATTGCCCCTTTTTACCGTTAAAAAACTAGACTTTACTGGAAGGACTTTCGGGACGGAATAAGATGGAATGTCCCAAATGGCCATGGGGTATGAGAAACACAAAAATGTATGAGTTGTCGTGGGATGGAGGGGAGCGAGAGATGTCTTTCCGATCTCTCTAATGGCTAAAGTAGTCAGGGGAGAGAGAAAGATTTTTTCCCCATTGTATTCAGACGAGGACTCAGAAAACGCCATTGTCTGTTGCAATCCTCCCTCCGCCATTCTCCTGGGATGAATTTCTTTCCTTCCCTTCCATCTTCTGAAAGCTTCATTCACTATCTTCTCTGTGGTTACCTGATCGAGCTGGAACCCAGCTTTTTTTTTTCAACAGTGAGACACGTGTCGAGATGACAGGTATATGAATGAACTGGCAACCGGACAATGTCAGATAATAAAAAAAACACAAGCTCTTCTACACTGAGGGGGTGAGAGGGGTGAGGGGCAGCGCACCCTCTGGATACCTGCAGGAGGGAGCAACCTCCCCCTCCTCTTCCCCTGTTGCTATTGATACTGCAGCAGTCATGGTCACTCGGCGTCATTTATAAGGAAAAAAAAAAGCATGAGGGCATCAGAAATTTCAACGGCTCTGAGGCAGATCACCAGATAAAAATGGTCGCTCGCTACCTATCCAGTCACGCGGGATAAGGCAATCAGTATTCCATAAAAGGCAGGGGGAAGAAGGCCAGATTGTTGGTACGGAAAAAAGAACATGACATGAGCGTGTGAACGCTCATGACGTTCTCTTGCCTCCCTAGTCCCTCCCATGCTGGAATTCCTGACTACGACCCTCTTCACAGATACCGATTATCAAGATTCCATGTGGGTATACAATACCTAAATTCGTTCCTTGCACCCCAAGTCGATCGTAATTGTCGTCGTAACAATGAGGTACTAAACTGTTCCTATAGAGGATTTATTCCGGAGGGCTCGGGTCGGGATTTTTCTCGATGGAACTCGTGCATGAGGCAAGAAGGATGAATTTCCAGGCTTCGATGACCTTGTGATGACCTGCGGAGAACCCAGCCGTGCTCGTTCTGTCAAATCATCCCGACTGGAAAATTTCAAATTCCTCCCAACGAAAAAAAAAAACCTGCTTTGCATAATGAGACTCCTCCCTCCCTCTTTTAAAGGACGATGAGAAGCACTCCCTGCAACACACTCAGCAGGGATTTCTCTCTCTCTCTTTACTAAAATACCGACTTTCACTTGGTCGATTATGCATGCATGCACGGTTAGCTGAGGTGAGACACGGAGGACGATTTAATGCTGACAATTATATGAACTGCCATGACAGTATCGATGCATCTATGGGTTCCAACCACGAACTTAACAGAAACAGTATACCCATTCCGTTCACACAGCTTTCCAAGAATCCTTCGGAGAATCGCGATGATTCTACCGTTCGTTCTATCTCTGCGAATCATTCCTCCATATGTCACGCGTGACACGCTTGCGAGAAGGAAAAAAAATGCCAGCGAGTTTCCTCATTCCAGGAAAGCAATCAAGCCATATAACAATATGGCTCTGTAGGGACGTCGCCATCTGCGTCCACTCTCACGCTTTTCATCCATAATGAAAAAAAAGTCATATCTGCTTCGGTTAGGCTTTCCCCCTCTTACGTCAACATGACGACAGGGGATGGCAAACACGAATCCGCCTTCTCAATACCAGGGAAACCCGACGGACGGGCGCAACGACAGCATCCCCCCTCCCCCCTTTATGCATCTATTTACACGTAAGTGTTATCATGGAAAAGGTGGCTCACTTGTCGTCCTTGGCGTGGAATGCGGAGAGAGGGATTAAGGCCGGGACTCGAGCAGACAGGATCTTGTGACGTAATCGCATAGCCGTCCCAGGATCGATGCCAGAATTCCGCCCGAACTCCTCATCCTCCTGAAGCTGTCGCCGTCGCTTCAGGTTGTCCACTATGGCGTCCAAGTGGAACCGCTTCCGTTTTACCTTTTCTCCCTTTCCTCCGGTCCCAGATAGGGATTCCCAATGACGAGGGGGTGAGGTCTGAAAGAGTTCTTGCCCCGATTTCACCCTGATCTCCGCCGGTTTCTCCTCTTCGTGGTCGTTCCTCAAGAAACTCTTCAAGATGGAGTACTTATCGGGTTCTCTGCTGGGTCTGTACACTACACTTCCCCCCGAGTCTTGGGTGAAGGAGGAGATGCAGTGGACGGGGTCGGAGGCCTTCAACATCGTCTGTAGGACCCCAGTCCCGTCCTTCAACAGGTGAGGGAACACTTCCTGCGGGAGCATCATGAGGGCACCTTGAAGCAACAGATTTGGATTCTGGGCCGCCTGTGACACGAGAGCCGCCTGGCAAGACACCACCTCATCCAGGTACAAGTGAGGACACGACAAGAGAGCAGGCAACAACGTTCGAGGGACCAACAAGGTGGATTCGTCAGATCCCTCTCCCTCTGTCTTCAACGGAGGGGGTTTCGCCAACAAGTCCTGCAGGATGCTCCGTCCCTCCGACGACGAAGGATTCGTTTCGAGAATGGATTTCAGCAGAGAATCTGTCGTCGATTCCGTACTCTGATGATCCGATTCCTCGTCTCCACAGATGGGGGGCGTATCACAAGTCACAGACGAGGATGGGGGGCGATCCGGAGACGATCGCCTCGCGTGGACGATCGCCACCGGTCGGTCGAATTTCCGCGTTGCTCCCTTCTGGAACTGCGGCAGGGAAACTTTGGCCTCAGTTGCATTCGCATTCACAGTCGCATTCCCACTGTCCACCTCCTCCTCCCTATTCCTCGTCTTCGTCTCCTCGTCCTTCGCCGATTTCTCCGAACTCCCCTCACGATCCCTATCACGATGATGCCGACGATGCCGATGACTAGATCCGAGAATTCGCTTCAACTTCTTCTCCTCCTTCCACCGTTTCCGTTTCTTGAACCACTTCCGTCGCAATTTGCGAGCACCACTATTGTTGTCCTCGCTGTTGATACCTTCGGCCTGCCACCCTCGGGCCGTCTTTCGAAGCTTCAACTTGGTCGTGAATCCGAGGGGTGGATCAGGCGGACGATCACTGCACTTCAGATCCAGAATTCGCCAGGATTCTTGATCCAATTCCGCTTGGAGATACAATTCTTCGTTTCGGATCGGAGACTCGTTTCGAGGATTCCCAGGCGATTCCTCCGTCTCTGGCAGTTCCCCCCGGTTGCAGCTCCGAGTGAAGTGAGTCCTCGGCCTTTCTTCTTGAACCTGGTCGTCAGTCTTGGGCCGCAGATGAAGGTGGCTGAGGAATTCACTCCTACTTCGAAGGTACTCCGAGGAGGACGAAGAGGATTCCTCTTCCTCCACTTCCATGGCTCGTCCAGGACCAAAAGACTCGCGTCTTCGACTCACATCTTGGCATCACCAGCTGGATGAAACGGGGAGGGGGGAAGAGAGCGTAAAAGCTCGTTCGTAGACTCGGGAGAAGCACGCTTGCGCCATCCCTTCGATTTTGCCCTCTATGAATAACTCCGGTGATGGAGAGTGGAGAGAGAGAGAGAGCGTGGCGGCGGTGGAAGGATGTGAAGGCGAGTGAATGTGTGTGAGAGGACGGTGAACTCTTCTCACACTCCTCTCTCCCTCCTCTACGACTTCCATCACCTGACGCACGTCATCAGCGCACCATCAATCAGAGCTCCTAGTCCAGGAATGCTGAAAATAATGGAAACTTGACCGAAGTGCTAAAATAGCTGACAAAAAAGTACCCTGCAACTGTATCACATAATAAGACATTCGTTTTCTTTCATTTATCGGCTGCGTGCAAGTGCAAGAGCTCCATCAGGAGTCCTACCATTATGATTTGGTTTTGATTGTGGTACCAGTGGGATATGGGTGTAAGACTGGACTTGATCCATGGAATTAATGGGAGCCGTCACTGGACTGGCAGATATATCTCTCGGACTTATCGATTACTCAGTCTCTTCTTCAGCCATTATTTACAGTCATTCTCCCGAGGACTTCTATCAAGGTCTTGCACGCGTCCCACACGGTCACCCCTGCCGAGTTGTGTTCAATCCGTTTCATACACAGTACGCAAGTTGTAAACTGTTGTGGAATCGACATGGAAACATTCTGGAGCCCCGTTATCTGAAGGTCGGGTTTCTTCTTCCTGTTGATTGAGTGCGCAATCATTCCGTTTTGACGCACTTGGAATTGGTCTTCGCTCGATCTTCGTACTGAAAAGCGCAATTGGTCATAATCGTTTTCATTTCCATCGTTTCAGCCGTGTCAAGGTCTGGAGGCCCGAGTCATCATTCACTGCTACCCCACGATGCTATGAAGATGACTCTCCAAAGTTCAAAAGAGTCACCTTTGGACTCGATTCTCGAGATAAGTCGCCAGAGATTCGTTAGGGAGCGAAAACGATGGGGGCTTCTCAAACCGAAAACTTCCAATCGATGTAGTCTCTAACGTGCATTAGGGAAATGTACTAGTTTACAAAGCACCTCTGTTCACAAAGGCCGAAAAGAACGCGACCGAGAACACCATTCTAGATGCTCGAGTTTTTGGGGGAGAGGTTCGGGAAGAATGATTCCAGTCACCTGAAGCAATGGACTGGAACGTAGGACTACACCATATGCGCACTTGGGAGAATTTGGAAAGAGGGGAGAGCAGGTGCATACCATGCTGTGCATCTGCCGATACGTACGTATTTCGTGAGTATTCGAACGCTCGGGGAAATATCCGATACTTCGCCCTTCAGCAAGCAACATCATATAGGAAAAACAGGCATTATAATAATAGCAATGGAATGGCAGCCAGAGTATCTTGAAACAGACAGCTGCAATTAATCAATTAATTCTGTGGAAAATGCGAGCATCATTAATAATATGGAAGATGTCGAGTCGGGCGGATGATGAGAAATGGTTCGGAATCGCATTATGGTTTCCGACATTTGCAAGACGAACGCCGACGCGAGTCGAATTCTGCCATGAAGGTGCTCGAAGTTCGGCAAACCCCATGGATCCGATGACGAATTCATCTAAAACTCATTATGCACAGACTTCTCCGCGAGGAACTGCGAGAGTCGTATCGATTCCATGCGGGAAATAGAGAGGAAATTGGCAGGAAGTCCCCCCATGACGACGGGGAAGGGTGCCAAACGGAGTTGGGGAAAATCCCTCCATCCCGACATGCACGAGGCGGATCTGGTTCTATGCTTTAAAGAAGGAAATGAGGGAGGGTGGCCCTTATCAAAGCCCGGATCCATTTTCAAGGTGCAGCACAGGTGTTCTCTTTCCCCGTCTCCGGTTTCCATCCTGCCTCTCCGCAACTCAAGGTTTTTAACGCCAAGCAGTACCACCAAGTACCTCTTCGAGAAAAAAGAAAAAACCTTGCCATCCGACCTCAATTGCCCGCCACTTCATACAAATCGATGAGAAAAAGAGAGCAAAACGCATCGGAATGATGGGGAGGGCAAACAGAAGGAATGTGATAACGACGACCGAAACCTTATCTGGTTCCCAGGGAAACGCTAACCATGTTTTTTCTTCTTCTATCTCCTACTTCGATCCATCGGACCGTTTCCGACAACAACGTCCGCCGGTCTTCTTCAAAACCGTTTTGCAATCGAAAATGTCGGTCGCTTGCTTTGTTCGAAATTTCTGCTCCGAACGGTCGAAGAGCTTGTCGTGGAGGTGTGCCTACGAAATTACCTCGTTCGGAGGCGAATCGGTGGGTAAAGTGGGTCAGAACGAAACATTTTATGTGATACCAAGTGGAAGCGGAAGAGAGGAAGAAAAAGAAAAAAAAAATTAGTGGAGACTGCACATCCTTGGTCGGATGTAGGCTATGACCTCGCCAGGAAGTGTTACACGTCTCTTGCAAGGACACACACACACACACACACACTCACTCGCTCGCTCGCACACGCGCACCCAGACGGAGGCCCTCCATACCTCTCTATTGCCCCACTTTTTATCTCTTCCCTATCTGGTCCTTCCCATCCACATTGCTGTCATCCGGATTCCAGCCTAGGAGTGGAAATGGCACGATTGTGTCGGGATTATACGATATACATTGCTTAGGTTGTAATGGAAACACTGAGAGTTCCAAACAAATACTTCCCATCGTAAAGCTATAGCTACGACTCACTGCACTCACTGTGTAAACTTTTTTTTAAAAGTGCTTTGACCCTCTATTGCACGGGGAGAAGGTCTTCATCTGAATATCGTTAATATGGCTTAGTGACTTAAATCGAGAAAGGAAGGCACTGACGTACACATTTTTCTGTAAGGGGAGGAGCTCGGTATAAAGGAAGTTAAGTCTGAAAAAGCGTTGGGAAGCAGTCATTTCGACGTTTTACTTTTGCGCATGTTACAAGACGGACGAGACCGACAAAAGACAGCGGTGACAGATCAGAAAGCAAGCGAAGGGCCAGTAAAAGCAAACGAGCACCACGACCACGGGATGGCTGTAGGAGGGAAGGGTCGCATAGCGTGCTCGACTCGAGAACGGTCATATTTGGTCTTTTTCGGAGGGAAAAAAGTCCCTGGGCGAGCCCAACCGCTGAAGAAGAAGAAAAAAAAGCTGGGCGTCGCCCACCTTCGCTCCTTTACACCTCTGCAGACTTTTCTGACAGAGCGGGTTTGGATTAAGTCGCTAAGGAAGAAAAAGCACTGGTATGCCTGTAACGCATGAAAACGACCTTGACGGAAGGTTCTCTTTCCTCGATCGAGGTCGAAACCCGTTTTTCCTCCTACCTTTACGAGCCCCATATATTGTGAAATACTAATTTGTATAGGGCAGATCTTCACATCGCCACTTCTATGCTTTTATTTTTAAAACTGGTTTTAGAGACCTCAGGGAGCGTGGGAATGGAAAAGATGCGACAGTCATGAGGCTCTTTCTCACCGTGTATTACGAAAGAGTTCCAGGCGTAAGAAGGAAAGTCTGCCCGAAGAAAGAAAGCAAATGTCTGCCCGAGAGGACAGAACACCCCAAGGAACACATAAAACTGAAACATCTTCATGCCGAAGTGGTTCGTAGTATGCATGCCGTACGAGGAACGCACAAGAATTTAGGTTACCTTTATGATTCGACCGACAAGGTGTTGGAAGCCATTAACTGCTCAAATCCCTTTTAATATCTTTCCAAGTTCAAGCAATTTCCTTCAAAAGAATCTGTGGAACCTTTCCTGTCGAATTGCCAACCGCTGCCCGCAAAGAATAGAATGAATAGATAGGTGTAATCAGAGAAATATAAATGACAAGTCCAGCTGCAATGGTCCAAGGAACTGAAAATGCGTCTGAGGAGAAAATTCTGTTCGGCAGTTTTTTGCCTGAAAAAAGTAAGAAAAACTACCTGGCAAAAAAAACAGCATCTAATCCATGTGGCATCTGCATGCTAATCTATAACCATGAGCATGTGCAAGGGAATGAAACCAAATGGTCTTTTCCAGAATGTAGGCTAGATTTCTGCCTCGCGCTTCCCCAACTGTTTCTGGGTCATTGAAAGTCCCATATTCCACGTATTTTGAGACGTCGGTCGTGCGCATTATTGACTCCGAACCGACACGTTTAGAAATCCGATTCCTATCTCCCTGAAAAGAGAAATCGGAAGATACTACGATGCATTTTTTAACTTCCGCAAGAATTGGTTAGTGAAATGCATAAACTCGGCAGCGAATCCCCTGTATTTAGAGGTAACTTCGTTAAATTTATCCTAGATGTTGCAGCGAGATCCTTCAGCTAACGTGGACTCGTTCTCGGACGACCCCAGATCCAGCGCTTGAAGCGGCTCGCGGAATGCATTCGATTCGAGGAAAGAAAACCGAGCGACGAATGACGGAGGACGTGGAGGATGCGGAGAAGTAGGACTCGAACGAGACGTCTCGAGGATCGGGGTTGGGGAACTCGGGTACGAGGGACGCGACCGTGCTATCTTTAGGGCGACGCTCGCCCGCACGGAAGCTTTTCTCTCCCATCCTCGTCTTTCGGGGACGGCAGGATGAGACGAATGTAGAAACGGTTTCCGAGTTTTTCCCCGCAGCCACGTCACCGTCGGACGTCCATCGGGGAGGACGTTACGGCACGGCACTCGGGGGAAATTTATCCTCGAAGCGGTGGATATTTCTGCCGACGGAAACGTAACTTTTTTCTTTGCAACATCTCATCTGCAAGAATTTCGAGTTCGTGGTGCATGGGCATGGCTCGACTGCAGCGGCATGGAGATGAGATGAACCAGAAATTGCGTAGAATATATTTTGAATGGTTCGAGTTTTAACGATGCGATCGTACTTTCGTGGATTCCGGCGAGAATCGCTTTCGCAACCCACGGCAGCTTCGACGAACTCACCATCATTAGTATCAATT